CACCCACCGCCTCCCTGGGCCCAGCCTGGTCTTCTCCTGCCTTCGGGACACGGCCTCACCACATCCCGAAGGCAGGAGAAGGGGGAGAAGTGGTGGGCGAAGTAATTTTGGGGCCGCTTCACCCACCGCCTCCCTGGGCCCAGCCTGGTCTTCTCCTGCCTTCGGGACACGGCCTCACCACATCCCGAAGGCAGGAGAAGGGGGAGAAGTGGTGGGCGAAGTAATTTTGGGGCCGCTTCACCCACCGCCTCCCTGGGCCCAGCCTGGTCTTCTCCTGCCTTCGGGACACGGCCTCACCACATCCCGAAGGCAGGAGAAGGGGGAGAAGTGGTGGGCGAAGTAATTTTGGGGCCGCTTCACCCACCGCCTCCCTGGGCCCAGCCTGGTCTTCTCCTGCCTTCGGGATGCAGCCTCACCACATCCCGAAGGCAGGAGAAGGAGGGAGGTGGTGTGTGAAGCAGTTTTGGGGCCACTTCACCCACCACCTTCCTGGTCCCAGCCTGCTCTTCTCCTGCCTTCGGGACGCGGCCTCACCACATCCCGAAAGCAGGAGAAGGGAGGAGGTGGCGGGCGAAGCAGCTTTGGGGCTGCTTTACCCGCTGCCTCCCTGGGTCCAGCCTGCTCTTCTCCTGCCTTCGGGACGTGGCCTCACCACATTCCGAAGGCAGGAGAAGGGGGCGAGGTGGTGGGCGAAGCGGTTTTGGGGCCGCTTCGCCCGCCACCTCTCTGGGCCCAGCCTGGTCTTCTCCTGCCTTCGGGACACGGCCTCACCACATCCCGAAGGCAGGAGAAGGGGGAGAAGTGGTGGGCGAAGTAATTTTGGGGCCGCTTCACCCACCGCCTCCCTGGGCCCAGCCTGGTCTTCTCCTGCCTTCGGGACACGGCCTCACCACATCCCGAAAGCAGGAGAAGGGAGGAGGTGGCGGGCGAAGCAGCTTTGGGGCTGCTTTACCCACCGCCTCCCTGGGCCCAGCCTGGTCTTCTCCTGCCTTCGGGACACGGCCTCACCACATCCCGAAGGCAGGAGAAGGGGGAGAAGTGGTGGGCGAAGTAATTTTGGGGCCGCTTCACCCACCGCCTCCCTGGGCCCAGCCTGGTCTTCTCCTGCCTTCGGGATGCAGCCTCACCACATCCCGAAGGCAGGAGAAGGAGGGAGGTGGTGTGTGAAGCAGTTTTGGGGCCACTTCACCCACCACCTTCCTGGTCCCAGCCTGCTCTTCTCCTGCCTTCGGGACGCGGCCTCACCACATCCCGAAAGCAGGAGAAGGGAGGAGGTGGCGGGCGAAGCAGCTTTGGGGCTGCTTTACCCGCTGCCTCCCTGGGTCCAGCCTGCTCTTCTCCTGCCTTCGGGACGTGGCCTCACCACATTCCGAAGGCAGGAGAAGGGGGCGAGGTGGTGGGCGAAGCGGTTTTGGGGCCGCTTCGCCCGCCACCTCTCTGGGCCCAGCCTGGTCTTCTCCTGCCTTCGGGACATGGTCTCGCCACATCCCTAAGGCAGGAGAAAGGGGGAGGCGGCTGGCAAAGCAGCTTTGGGGCCGCTTCGCCCGCCACCTCCCCAAGTTTATATTTGTTAAAATTGTTCTTCATTTTAATTATTGTATTGTTTTGAAGTAATTTTTGGACTATAAATAAGATAGGTGCAGTGTGCATAGGAATTCATTCATTTTTTTTTTTCAAATTATAATCCGGCCCTCCAACAGTTTGAGGGACTGTGACCAGGCCCTCTGTTTAAAAAATTTGATGACCCCTGGGTTAAACCCTAGTGCTGGCAGGACTGAAGACCGACAGGTTGGAGGTTCAAATCCGGGGAGAGCGCAGATGAGCTCCCTCTGTCAGTTCCAGCTCCCCATGTGGGGACATGAGAGAAGCCTCCTACAAGGATGGTAAAATATCAAAACATCCGTGCGTCCCCTGGGCAACGTCCTTGCAGACGGCCAATTCTCTCACTCCAGAAGCGACTTGCAGCTTCTCAAGTTGCTCCTGACTCGGAAAAAAAAATTGTATATTCTTTGTTGTTGTTCGCTGTGTAGAAGGCATTGAATGTTTGCCTTATATGTGTACTGTAATTTCCTCTGAGTCCTTCTGCGGAGATATATACAGTGTACTATAATTATTATTTATATTATTCACCACCTCAGCCCTGTTGACTTGTAAATGCCTTTTTACTTTTAATGTTTTGAGTGTTTCCTATCATTAGATCTAGTAGTAAACATGTTCCAAATCAGGGGTTTTCAAAGTTCCTAATGCCGCGACCCCTTAATTCAGTTCCTCATGTTGCGGTGACCCCCAGCCATTAAATTATTTTCATTGCTACTTCATAATTGTAATTTTGCTTCTGCTATGAATTGTTATGTAAATATCTGATATGCAGGATGCATTCCTATTCACTGGAGCAATTTGGCACAAATACTCAATATGCCCAAATTTGAATAGTAGTGGGGTTGGGATGGGAGGATTGATTTTGTCATTTGGGAGTTGCACTTGCTGGGATTTATAGTTCACCTACATTCAAAGAGCATTGTGAACTCTACCAAATATGGAATTGGACCAAACTTGGCACACAGAACTCCCATGACCAACGGAAAATACTGGAAGGGTTTGGTGGGCATTGACCTTGAGTTTTGGAGTTGTAGTTTGCCTACATCCAGAGAGCACTGTGGACTCAAACAATGATGGATCTGGATCAAACTTGGCACGAATATTCAATATGCACAAATGTGAACACTGGTGAAGTTCGAGGAAAATAGATGTTGACATTTGGGAGTTGTAGTTGCTGGGATTTATAGTTCACCTACAACCGAAGAGCATTCTGAAGCCCACCAACGATAGAATTAGGCCAAACTTCCCACACAGAACTCCCATGACCAACAGAAAATACTGTTTGTGGTGGTCTTTGGAGACCCCTCTGACCTCCAGGGGTCCCGACCCCTAAGTTGAGAACCACTGTTCTAAATGTTTGATTTATATATTTAAATGTCTACGTTTGTTATTTTTGAGTTGTTCTATAAGTACACCTGATGTTGTTTATTTTATTGTTTATGATTTGATTTGTTTGTTATGTTATGCCAGCATTGAATGTTTGACAATTTTCTGTTGTAAACCGCCCTGAGTCCCCTCGGGAAGATAGGGCGGTATAGAAATAAAGATTATTATTATTATTATTATTATTATTATTATTATTATTATTACTCTATCTGGGTCAAAGGATATATCTACACTGTAGAATTAATGCAGTTTGCCACCCCTTGACCTGCCATGGCTCAGTGCTGTGGAAACACTGGAGTTGTAGTTTGGTGAGGACAAAACTCTCCTTGGTAGGGAAGGCTAAACGCCTCACAAAACAACAACTGCTGAGATTCCATAGCATTGAGCCATGGCATTTAAAGTGGTGTCCAACAGCATTCATTCTATCATGTAGACTCACCCCAGATTCCCCGGTGGTGCAGTGGGTTAAAACCCTGTGCCGGCAGGAATGAAGACCGTCGCAGGTTCAAATCCGGAGAGAGGCAGACGAGCTCCCTCTATCAGCTCCAGCTCCTCATGTGGGGACATGAGAGAAGCCTCCCACAAGGATGATAAAAACATCAAATCATCCGGGCGTCCCCTGGGCAACGTCCTTGCAGACGGCCAATTCTCTCACACCAGAAGTGTACAGAAGTTACTGAAACTATGTATATGTTTAACTGTAAGAATATATTTGTTTTGGTAACAGTAGCTGAAAGCTAGAGTTAACTGGTTGTCTCCACAGGAGGTTGCCAAGGAGACCAGGCAGGAGAGAGAGAGAAGTGGGCGGAGCCTAGCAAGAAAGTGTTATCTGCGTTTTAAAAAGAAGCAGTCAGTTGGGGGGTTGGAGTCGGAGTTAGCAGTTGAGAGAGAGAGAGTGGGAAGTAGAGAAACAGTGTTTGTGAATAGTCAGAAGTTTCTTCAGTCTAGGAAGGCTGAAGGGGGAAACCTAATTAGTTTCATTAGTCAGAGAGGACTAAGGGAAGCTTGTTTAGATCACTAGTTAGAAAAGAACTAGAGATCTGGGGTTTGATCACGAAGAGATCAAACCAGAAGGCTATTCAGCTCAGGAAACATTGTTTAAGAAAGTGCTTCACCACAGTAAAAGTCAATTACAAGTTGTATCATCCAGAAGTGTGAACTGTATTGCAAACCAAGTTACATTTAAAGTTCTACAAGTTCTCTAAGTTATTCCAAGTAAACAACAGCCTGCAACCATACGCTTTGTACAAAATAAACTTATTAACTGTTGTTTGAAGACCGTGTCATCTCCATCTATCTGCGTCTGGGGAACTAGTTCTCATGGGCAAGACCTCACGTTGGTAGCAGTTACCTGAATTAAATCTATAATCATCCACACCTATTTAACTGGTAGCAGAATTTAAGAACAGTCTTTACATTTGGTGACAGAGGGTGGGTACTTTAAAGTTAAAAACCCTATACCCTGGTTGTTGTTGGAATTGCAGCACCTTCGCAATTAGCAAAATTGTACAACTGGTGCGTGCAGACTTCGCAAACTGGTGGTAGCCCTGTACAACTGGTGAACAACCTTTACAATAGGGCTAGCATCTCTGCAAGAAGCGACTTTCAGTTTCTCAAGTCGCTCCTGACACGACAAAAAAACAAAAACAAAAACCAAACCCCCAGATTCCAATGAAATCCCCTTGCCCCCTTTGCTTCAACCGCTCCACTTTCCCACTCCAAGTTTGGCATCTTTCTTCAGCTGAGGAAGGAAGCACTCTTTTCTGGTCACAAACAAAAGCGAGAGGAGAAATGGAGAAAAATAAACCCTGAGGAAGCTTGCCATAGATGCAGGCGAAACGTCAGGAGAAATGCCTCTAGAACATGGCCATATAGCCCGAAAAAACCCACAAGAACTGAGTGATTCCGGCCATGAAAGCCTTCGACAATACAATAAACCCTTTCATTTCTGAAACCGTTTGCTGGAGGAACAGCCCCTCCTGGTGGACACTTACTTTCCCACCTCTGAAACCTACCACAAGCGTCTTGAAGGATGTGACTGCTTTCAAGACATCTTCATGGTCCGGATGTGCCTCCTGGAAATAGGAGGAGACTGGAATCAGTTTGGAAGAGAAGTGGAAAGGGATCAGAATTGCAGAAACTCACCCATCTCTAGAGGGCCCCAACAACATGGCATGTAACATAGGCAGTAAGATCACCTAAAGCAGTGGTTCTCAACCTTGCTAATGCCGTGACCCCTTAATGCAGTTCCATATGTTGTGGTGACCCCCAACCATAATATTGTTTTTGTTGCTACTTGATACCTGTCATTTTACTACTGTTATAAATCGTAATGTAAATATCCGATATGCAGGATGGATTTTCATTCACTGGACTAAATTGAGCACAAATACCCAATATGCCCAAATGTGAATGCTAGTGGGGTTGGGGGGAGGATTGATTTTGTAATTTGGGAGTTGTAGTTGCTGGGATTTATAGTTCACCTGCAATCAAAGAGCATTCTGAACTCCACCAGTGCTGGATTTAAACCGAACTCCCATGACCAACAGAAAACACTGGAAGGGTTTGGTGGGCATTGACCTTGAGTTTGGGAGTTATAGTTCACCTATATCCAGAGGAGTGCTGTGGATTCATGCAATGATGGATGTGGACCAAACTTGGAACAAATACTCAATATGCCCAAATGTGAACACTGGTGGCGTCTGGGGAAAATAGACCTTGACATTTGGGAGTTGTATTTGTTGGGATTTATAGTTCACCTACAATCAAAGAGCATTCTGAACTCGACCAACAATAGAATTGGGTCAAACTTCTCACACAGAATCCTAATGACCAACAGAAAATACTATGAGAGGTTGCGAGGGGACTTCAGAGGGGTCACCAAAGACCACCAAAAAGCATGTATTTCTGATGGTCTTTGGGAGCCCCCGGTGGCACAGTGGCTGCTGAGCTTGTTGATTGAAAGGTCGCAGGTTCAATTCCGGGGAGCGGTGTGAGCTTCCGCTGTCAGCCCTAGCTTCTGCCAACCTAGCAGTTCGAAAACATGCAAATGTGAGTAGATCAATAGGTACCGCTCCGGTGGGAAGGTAACGGCGCTTCATGCAGTCATGCCGGCCACATGACCTTGGAGGTGTCTACAGACAACGCTGGCTCTTCGGCTTAGAAATGGAGATGAGCACCACACCCCAGATCAGACATGACTGGACTTACTGTCAGGGGACTACCTTTACCTTTACCTGATGGTCTTTGGCGACCCCTTTGACACCCCTTCACGACCACCAGGTTGAGAAACACTGACCTAAAGCTTTAGAGAATTCAACTATTTCAAAGCTCTCTGCTTGAGCAGTGATGGCACGATCGTCAGCATAGATCAAACTCCCTTTCCCTTCTGGTAGTGCCTAATCGTTTGTGTAAATGTTGAACACTGATGGAGTAAGTTCGCTCCCCTGAGGCAGGCCATTCTTTTGTTTTAGCCATCTGCTTTTCTGGCCCTGGAACTCAACAAAAAAGCTCCTGTTTTGTAGCAGATTTTCTATGAAGTGGGTGAGGTGGTAATCCTTTGTGATATTATACATTTTTTTCAAGAGGAGGCAATGATATACAGTATCATAAGTCAGGTATGTAGCAGTAATAAATGCCACTCAATCACAATACTTTGCATACACTCCAATATACACAGCCAGCCCTCCATATCAGCTAGCATTGGGAGCAGAGGACCCCCGTGAAAATGAAAAGCCACAAATAAAGACATTGTTATTTATTTTTTTCCTGTGGGAACAAAACTCTAGGAAGGAGTAGCGACATCAGGATGGTTGAGAAACACTGTTCTAGAGAGAAACATGCAAAAATAAATTAGACACCTTCCTTAAAATTTGGACATCTGCTTCTAATAATCAGAATTGTCAACAGTGGTCTACCTTTATCAAGGTCTGATTGAGTATAACACATTTTCCTATTTCATTATAGATATTGTTCTTAAAAGTAAGGACAAGGGAGATACGTTTATCAGAAGATTTTCCAACTGAAGAAAGACCAGAAGATATGGCTGAATTATTCTATTTACTAAAGATGTTGGTGAAGTGGAACCATCTGAGACCCAAAATGTATTGGGCCTTAGCATATTCAGAGACAAAGGGTTAAATTCATCGAAACAAAGTGAAGAACATCAACATGTCAAGATGGGACCAATCTGGGACTTCTTTTTGCTAATAGAACAGACCTCCTTACCTCCATGTGTCGCTCGAGTTCTTGCAGAAGGGAAGTGTATTTATCCAGGCGGGTGAAGGGTTTGCTGAGGCTCATGGTTAAGGTCAAGATCCCTGAGCAGGTGGCCCCTTGAAGCTCCATGAACTTCTCCAGTTCATCACTGGAAGAGGAATGAACATTCCATTTCAATCACTGACCAGCACTATGATGGAAGGCAAAGACACAGCAAGATATGGACTTGGACAGGACAATAGAGTCACCTTTGCGTGGTCTCATGGTGGACATTTTGGACATCAGAGCTACATTATGGATCTAACACAAGAAGGTCAAAAACAAGACTACAGCAGTCCCTGACAGATGGCCATTCAGCCTCTGCTTAAAAGCCTCCAAAGAAGGAGCTTCCACCAGACTTCCAGGCAGAGTTCTACTGCTGAACAGCTCTTCTTATGGTCAGGAAGTTCTTCCTAATGTTCAGGTGGAATCTCCTTCCCGGTTGTAGCGAATGTGTTGATCTATGTTAAATTTTTGATGTAAAGCTCTATGTTGCAATGTGGCAGAATTGGCAGAAATAGGGTAGCAACAGTAGAGGCAAGATAAATTCGCATATGTGCAGCCAATTGGTCGTATGCAGATGAGTGTAGGCCAGGATGTGAAAGGGCCGCTGAGCCAGAATGGCAGTTGGGGGGAGAGAGCTGAACATTCCAAAGGGGTGGAGTTAAGTTTAAAAATAGGCAGTTAAAGAGTCAGAAGGAATTAGTTAGGGATTCCTGTTTGTGAAGGACAGTTAGGAACTTCTGTGAGAGGAAAGCAGTTAGGAAAATGGAGCTTAAGTTTTAAGGAAAATAAAGAAGTGCCAGTGTGGTTTAAGGCGGGATATAGTTCTGTCAAGAGTGCATGAAAAAGTAACATAGTTGTTGATGTGAAACAGTGGAAGTTTGATAGGAAAGTTAACTAAGTGAATGATACTGAATGTAAGACTCAAGACTGTAACAGAACAAATGTAACCATAAGCGTTGGAGCCAGAAGCTATAAATAAACTTTGTTACTTCGTTTACTACAAGAGTGTCTCAAGCCTGTAACGTAAAAGCTCACAAGACAGCCCCAGCCAATTTAAAAAGGGGAAAATATATCAATACAAGACAGTAAAAAGATTTTAAAGAAAATATTTTTCCTCTCACATCGTCACACATAAAAAGACACCTGTAAAAGGACTGAAGTAGTGAAAAGTCGTCCCACCGGTCATTTGAACCCATGGCTCCATTGAGTCCTAGTCTTCAGGACAGAGGAACAGAAGCTTTGCTCCTCTTCCTTTCAGATATTTGAACATGGCTCTCATGTCCTCTTCTCTCCACCTTCTCTCCTGAGGCTAAAAAGGCCCAGCTCCTCTTTACGCCACTTCTCAGAGGGTTTCATTCATGGTCTCCATTTGATCTTTTTAGTTGCCCTTCTTTAGAGTCAATATCCCCCTTGACTTGCTTTGTCCAGAACTGGCCACAGGGCTATTATTCCAGGTGAAAAGGTCTAACCAAAGCAAAATAAAGGGGCACTATGACTTCCCTTGGTCTGGACACTACACTCCTTTGGATGCAGCCCAGAATCCCATGGGCCCTTTTAGTTGCTGCATTCCATTGTTGGCTCATGTTCAGCTTGTGGCCTACTAAGACTCCAAGGTCCCTTTCCCATGTAACACTGTTGTGGAGTCTAGCGTCACCCATCCTGTATTGAGGCATTTCATTTTTCTGCCCCAAAAAAGTATCTCACATTTCTCCTTGTTGACATTGGCCAATCAGCTCTCTCATCCATGAAGGTCATTTTGGATCCTGACTCTGTTTCCTGGCGTTGTAGCTCTCCCTCCTAATTTGGTCCCATCAGCAAACCTGATAAGAAGCATCCCCTCAAGATCTTCCTCCATGTGTTTAATAAAGACCCAGGACAGGACCCTGTTTATGGCTCCCAAAAAGTCCCTTCTTTCCAGGATGGAGAGGAGGAACCATTGGGGAGAGCACCTTTGGGTTTGGTTGCTCAACCCATTGCAAATCCACCTCATGGGAGTATTGTCCAGCCCAGATTTTACTCCTTCGTGAGCTTTCTCTGCCAAAGTGGGCTGGTGCCTCTCCAAACTACAACTCCCAGGATTCCATACCATGGAGCCATGGCAGTTTAAAGTGGTGTCAAACTGCATTGATCCTACAGTATAGATGCGCCCAGAGATGACACTACAAGTAGAATAAGTCAATCAAGGAAGGCACTGTGTTTGCAAGACTTGAGCAGACCAGTTGAGGATCTGCTTGCTGTAAGTTGAGGACAAACCGATGCCAGGTAACAAAAAAAAGTGTTGTTTCTACCTGTGTTGGGTCAAGACATTGACAGCGGAAGGGTGGTTTGCACAGTAGGCAAGGTACAACATTCGGAACTGCGGCATCAGGTTCATGAAGCAACCTCCGACTTTTTGCAAATGCTCTGGAAGCCTATGGAAGGAGAGAGAAAATTCCAGTTTAAGTCATAGAGAACATATTGCATAGGGTTTCAGAGCAATGTCTCTCAACATTTAAGTCTCCCAGTGTTGTGGCTCAGTCTGAGCCTGAATCTGAACTGTCTGGGCCTTTTGCTGGGCCTTCTGGGCCTGCTGGGCCTTCTGAGCCTGACTTTCTGCAGGATGACTAGGAGGCTGATGGGTTACAGATTTCTGTACATGTTCCAGACGGGGCTGATAGTGGAGGAAGAAAGTCTGTTCCCCAGAGAAAGGAATGTGACTCCTTTTGGTTCCCAGGGTGATCAGGCCCAGCTGGGCCAAGATAATGAGTGAATTAATGAGCCTTGAAGATAATAGTGAATTAATGAGTATACAGGACTGTTTACAATTAAAAGTTCGTAGAAGCACATGCCTTGCTAACAAGCGTGAAGCCAAAGGTCAACGCAATGCTTTCATGTCAGGGAAACTTATTTAGTGATGAAGCCGACAGACATTTCCTGTCAGTTCAATGTTGCTCTTTCCCTGTTAACTTCTGTTGAATTACCTTGGCTTTTGCGGAACGCTTCTGGCTTCTTTGAGACTTGGATTTTGATCCTGATTTTACCTGTCTACCATGGGCTCTTGTTTGACCATTGCTAGGGGATTATGCTTCATGTCATTTGCCTTTGGATCTTGGGAACTTTGCCTTTGCATTTAAGACTCTGTTTTGCCTATTGAACTTTTGCATCTTTATTTCTCTGTTTTGATTTTGCTTTTTCTCAATAAACTACAAAAAATACAGCTTTGGTGTGTGGTGGTGTCTTGAGCAAGGTGAAAACTACCCTAAATTGCGACACCCATATGCTTTGAACTTCCAAATGGATTTTAATATGGTAAAGGATATCCCAGGGTGTGTCTACAATGCAGAATTAATGCAGTTTGACCCCAATGGCTCAGTGTTATGGAACCATGGGAGTCTGACAAGCTCTTTAGCCTTTTCGGCCAAAGAGTGCCAAACTACAACTCCTATGTTTCCATAGCATTGAGTCGTTGCAGTTAAAGTGGTATTAAACTGTTCTGTCGCCGCTGGGTCTGTAGTTAGTTAACTTTAGTACAGAATGTGTAACCTTTGCCCAGCGAGAAGCCAGGGGGCCTAAGGAGAAGTTCTCAGAGGTTTCCAATACAAAAAAAATATTCAGATGGCTATAGAAGTACAACAAAGTCTTTTATTAATGAAATCAAACAGGAACTTCAAGGCTTTCTAGATAAAGTATTGGTTCTCTCAATCTTGTCCACAGGGGACAGGCACTATCTTCAATAACGTTTTCTTTAAAGGAAAATTCCCCTTTTTAACTTCTGGATTTCAGTTAACTTCTTAACTGAAATCCAACCCCAACTGATGTGTGCTCCGCTACCGGGCCGAACTGCTTCTCGGACACCGAGTGGACCTACCAGCAAGGCAGTGGATATTCTCCAGCTGGAGTTCTTTAGTCTTTGAAGCTGTTTTCCTGGAAATTCCCAAAGCTGTGGGAATGCTTCCCTCGAGTTTTTTAGGAGACTCTTAAAGCTGTTCTCCCCTGGGAATTCTTTCCCTTCTGTTGGAATTTCTGTAACCCTGGAAATTCTTAAAGGTTGAAGGCTTTGTACAGGGGAAGTTACACACATCCTATACAAAAGAGGTCTGGAGAACAAGCCCTATGAGGAGCGGCTTAAGGAGCTGGGCATGTTTAGCCTGAAGAAGAAAAAGCTGAGAGGGGATATGATAGCCATGTATAAATATGTGAGAGGAAGCCACAGGGAGGAGGGAGCAAGCTTGTTTTCTGCTTCCCTGGAGACTAGGACGTGGAACAATGGCTTCAAACTACAAGAGAGGAAGAACTTCCTGATTGTGAGAGCTGTTCAGCAATGGAACTCTCTGCCCCGGAGTGTGGTGGAGGCTCCTTCTTTGGAAGCTTTTAAGCAGAGGCTGGATGGCCATCTGTCAGGGGTGATTTGAATGCAATATTCCTGCTTCTTGGCAGGGGGTTGGACTGGATGGCCCATGAGGTCTCTTCCAATTCTTTGATTCTATGAAAAGCTAACCTGGCTGAGACTAACTAAGAAATGGTTCCCTTCCCTCCAAAACCCAAAAGGGGGGCGGAGCTAGGAAACCCAATGATAATTGACAGGTGGCTTGCCCTATGACTGCAGCCAAAGAAGCCACCTATCTGCAGATTCCCTGAAACTTAGGACTACAAACAAACATTCAATGCAAAGCAAACAAAATTGGAGCTCCTGGTACAGCTGTTCCAGAACAAAACTGCATTCATTCGTCAGTGTAGATGCACCCCAACACTTTGCTAATTTTCTAGATCCTCCATGGTAAAAGTATAGTTTCTCCTGGTTTTCATTCAAATGCAATAGAAGACTGTCTCGACTTACTTAGCAATTTCTTCCAGAGCTTGGTTGAGATTTTGTTGAAAGGTACAGATCTCATCCACATTTCCAAGTAACAAGGCGATGTCCCCAGCATTCAGCCTGGAGGGATTAAAACAAAAATCATGAAGATCTCTCTGAGCGACACTACAATCCATGAGATGGCCAATATCATAGCAATAGCCGGGCTTTAGCACAACAGGAAACCTGATACAAAACAGGAGCTTTTTTGTTGAGTTCCAGGGCCAGAGAAGCAGATGGCGGAAACAGAAGAACGGCCTGCCTCAGGGGAACGTGCTTGCTCCATCCATGTTCAACATTTACACAAATGACCAGCCACTGCCAGAAGGGACAGAGAGTTTCATCTATGCTGATGATCATGCCATTACCGCTCAAGCAGGGAGCTTTGAGATGGTTGAACAGAAGCTCTCCGAAGCTCTAGGTGCTCTTACTGCCTATTACAGGGAAAACCAGCTGATCCCTAATCCATCTAAAACACAGACATGTGCCTTTCACCTTAAGAACAGACAAGCATCCCAAGCTCTGAGGATCACCTGGGAAGGAAACCCACTGGAGCATTGCAGCAGCGCACCCAAATACCTGGGAGTCACTCTGGACCGTGCTCTGACTTACAAGAAGCACTGCCTGGATATCAAGCAAAAAGTGGGTGCTAGAAACAATATCATACGAAAGCTGACTGGCACAACCTAGGGATCACAACCAGACACAGTGAAGACATCTGCCCTTGCGCTGTGCTACTCTGCTGCTGAGTATGCATGCCCAGTGTGGAACACATCTCACCACTAAAACAGTGGATGTGGCTCTTAATGAGACATGCCACATTATCACGGGGTGTCTGCGCCCTACACCACTGGAGAAATTACACTGCTTAGCCGGTATTGCACCACCTGACATCCGCCGGGAAGTAGCAGCCAATAGTGAAAGGACCAAGGCAGAGACATCTCCAGCTCATCCCCTGTTTGGGTAGCAGCCAGCACGTCAACGACTTAAATCTAGAAATAGTTTTCTAAGATCTACAGAGACACTCGCTGGAACACCTCAGCAAGCGAGAGTCCAAAAGTGGCAGCCTCAAACCCAGAACCTCAACCAATGGCTGATACCAAATGAGAGACTCCCCCCTGGGCACACAGAAGACTGGGCGACTTGGAAGGCGCTGAACAGACTGCGCTCTGGCACCACGAGATGCAGAGCCAACCTTCAAGAAATGGGGCCACAAAGTGGAATCCACGACATGCGAGTGCGGAGAAGAGCAAACCACTGACCACCTACTGCAATGAAACCTGAGCCTTGCTACATGCACAATGGAGGACCTCCTTGCGGCAACACCAGAGGCACTCCAAGTGGCCAGATACTGGTCAAAGGACATTTAATCAACTACCAAGCTTGCAAACTTTGTGGGTTTTTAAAATCTGTTTGTTTGTTTTGTTCTGTTAGAAATGTAATACAATGGTCTGGTTGCCCCTGACACGATAAATAAAAATAATAACAGGTTAACCACCAGCTGCAATAAATCTTGCCAATCAAAAGGTTGGCAGTTCAAGCCTGGGTTGGGGGTTAGTGCCCAAACTTCAGCCCAGATCATTGCCCACCTAGCAGATCGAAAATAGCAGTGAGTAGATGAATAAGTACCATTTAAGTGGGAAGGTCAACATCCCCCTGCCTTTGGCCGGAATCAAGCACAACCTCCAAGATGCCAAAGATGGGAAAAGCCTATATACCTCTATCTGTGTACTGTATCTGTCCTGTCAGTGTATAACAGCACTTAATATTTGCCGTGTATGTGTTCTGTGATCCACCCTGAGTCTCCTTTGGGGTGAGAAAGGCGGAATCTATATAAATAAAAATGTAATGTTTGTTTGTGGGATTAACAGAACTCCAAAACCACTGGACGAATTCACACCAAATTTGGACACAAGACACCTAACAACCCAATGTATGTCCTTCACTCAAAAAAATTGATTTTGTCATTTGGGAGTTGTAGTTGCTGGGATTTATAGTTCACCTACAATCAAAGAGCATTCTGAACCCACCAATGATGGAATTGACACCAAATTTGGACACAAGACACCTAACAACCCAATGTATGTCCTTCACTCAAAAAAATTGATTTTGTCATTTGGGAGTTGTAGTTGCTGGGATTTATAGTTCACCTACAATCAAAGAGCTTTCTGAACCCCACCAACGATGGAATTGAACCAAATTTGGACACAAGATAACTAACAACCCAATGTATGTCCTTCACTCAAAAAAATTGATTTTGTCATTTGGGAGTTGTAGTTGCTGGGATTTATAGTTCACCTACAATCAAAGAGCCTTCTGAACCCCATCAACAATGGCAATTGACACCAAATTTGGACACAAGACACCTAACAACCCAATGTATGTCCTTCACAAAAAAAAATGATTTTGTCATTTGGGAGTTGTAAAAAGGAGGAAAGGAAAGGAAAGGAGGAAAGAGGAAAGGAAGGAAAGAGGGAGCGAATGAAGAAGGGAAAGAAATAGGGAGGGAAGGAAAGACAGAAGGAAGGGTGGAAGCAAAAAGCAAATGAAGGGAAAGAGGTAGAGAAGGAAGAAAAGAGAAAGAGGAAAAGAAAAGGGGGAAGAAGAAAGGGGTAGAGAAGAAAGAAAGAGAGAAAGAAGCATGGAAGCAAAAAGTGAAGGAAGGAAAGAGGTAGAGAAGGAAGAAAGGAGAGAAAGGGAAGGAAAAGAAAAAGGGAGGAAGGAAAGAGGTAGAGAAGGAAGGAAGGAGAGAAAGAAAGAAAAAAGGGAAGGAAGGAAGGAAAGGGAGCGAAAGAAGGAGGGAAAGAAGGAGAGAAAGAGGGAGGGAAAGTTGGCCACAGCAATGCGTGGCAGGTACAGCTAGTCTATATAAATTAAGATGTAATGTTCATTTGTGGTATTAACATAACTAAAAAACCACTGGATAAATTGACACCAAATTTCGACACAAGACATCTAACAACCCAATGTATGTCCCTCACTCAAAAAAATTGAGTTTGTAATTTGGGAGTTGTAGTTGCTGGGATTTATAATTCACCTACAATCAGAGAGCATTCTGAACTCCACCAATGATGGAACTGAACCAAACTTGGCGCACAGAACTCCCACGCCCAACAGAAAATACTGGAAGGGTTTGGTGGGCATTGACCTTGAGTTTGGGAGTTGTAGTTCACCTACATCCAGAGAGCATTGTGGACTCAAACAATGATGGATCTGGACCAAACTCTACACAAATACTCAGTATGCCCAAATGTGAACACTGGTGGAGTTTGGGGAAACTAGAATCTTGACTGGGATTTTTAGTTCACCTACAATCACAGACCAATGATAGAATTGGGCCAAACCTCCCACACAGAACCCCCATGACCACCAGAGTGGGCCAAAGCAACCGTTCAATCTTTTTAAACTCCTGCCTACACTGCCATATAAAATCCAGATTATCTGCTTTGAACCGGATTATATGGCAGTGTAGGCTCATATACTGTATATACTCAAGCATAAGCCTAGTTTTTCAGCCATTTTTTAAAGCTGAACAAGTCCCCCTTGGCTTATACTCGAGTGAAGGTTATTTATTATTTTACTCTATTATTATTATTGATTTCTATCTACGGAATTACTTTCCATCCAGAATTACTTTCTAATCCAAGAAAATGGAGGAACTTTTAGAAATGTTGCTCTTACCTGTCATAGGACTGGAGCGGCCTCAGGTAGGTACTTAAAAGAGAGTGCAGTTCCTTGGCGTAATCCCGCTCTGTTTCCAAAATATTCTGAAGTACCTGAAACAGATGAGGAAGAGACACCAACTCAGCTCATGGTGTATTATGGACTGAAATGGGTGCATCTCCACTGCAGAATTGATGCAGCGGTTCAATGCGATGGAACCCTGGGAGCAATAGCCTGACATCCGTAGGGATACTTAGGCGATCCCTCGTTTTCCGAGGAGGATTGTCTTCCAGTATTCTTGTGGGTCCTCCATTCGTGCCTCTTCAAATTCTGCAGCACTGCTGGTCACAGCTGACCTCCAGCTGGAGCACTCAAGGGCCAGGGCTTCCCAGTTCTCAGTGACTATGCCAGAGTTTTTAAGGTTGGCTTTGAGCTGGTCTTTCAATCTCTTTTCCAGTCCTCCAACATTCTGTTTTCCATTCTTGAGTTCGGAGTAGAGCAACTGCTTAGGGAGACGGTGGTTGGGCATCCGGACAACGTGGCCGGTCCAGCGGAGTTGGTGGCGGAGGACCATCGCTTCAATGCTGGTGGTCTTTGCTTCTTCCAGCATGCTGACATTTGTCCGCTTGTCTTCCCAAGTGATTTGCATGATTTTCCGGAGGCAGCACTGATGGAATCATTCCAGGAGTTGCATGTGACGTTTGTAGACAGTCCACGTCTCAAAGGCATATAGCAGGTTTGGGAGGACAATAGCTTTATAGACAAGCACCTTGGTATCCCTACGGATGTCCCGGTCCTCAAACACTCTCTGCTTCATTCGGAAGAATGCTGTGCTCGCAGAGCTCAGGCGGTGTTGTATTTCGGTGTCGATGTTGACTTTGGTGGAGAGGTGGCTGCCATGGTAGCGGAAATGATCAATATTTTCTAATGTTACACCATTAAGCTGTATCACTGGCATTGGAGAGGGAAAGGCTGGTGTCTGCTGGAACAGAACCTTGATTTTTTCAATGTTCAATGATAGGCCGAACTTCTCGTATGCTTCTGCAAATGTGTTTAGAGTGGCTTGTGGATCTTCTTCTGAATGTGCACAGACGATGTTGTCATCAGCATACTGGAGTTCTATAACAGATGTTGTTGTAACCTTGGTTTTGGCTTTCAGTCTGCTGAGGTTGAATAGCTTGCCATTTGTCCCATAGATGATTTCTACTCCTGTGGGAAGCTTCCCATCAACAAGGTGAAGTATCATAGTGATGAAGATGGAGAATAAAGTTGGGGCAATAACACATCCCTGTTTGACAACTGATTCGAAAGACTGCCCAAACTTCCGTACAGTGGCCCTTATTTCTCATGCCAGTAAGGTAATGCTCAAGATCCTGCAAGGAAGACTCCAGCAATACATGGAGCGAGAGTTGCCAGATGTACAAGCTGGGTTTAGAAAAGGCAGAGGAACGAGAGACCAAATTGCCAATATCCGCTGGATAATGGAGAAAGGCAGGGAGTTTCAGAAAAACATCTACTTCTGCTTCATTGACTATTCTAAAGCCTTTTACTGTGTGGATCATAATAAATTGTGGCAAGTTCTTGGTGGGATGGGCATACCAAGCCACCTTGTCTCTCTCCTGAGGAATCTGTATAAGGACCAAGTAGCAACAGTCAGAACTGACCACGGAACAACAGACTGGTTCAAGATTGGGAAAGGCGTACGGCAAGGCTGCATCCTCTCACCCAACCTATTCAACTTGTATGCAGGACACACCATGCGATGTGCGGGGCTTGCCAAATGCAAGGCTGGGGTAAAAATGGCTGGAAGAAACATTAACAACCTTAGATATGCAGATGACACCACTTGATGGCCGAAAGCGAGGAGGAGCTGAGGAGCCTTCTAATCAAGGTGAAAGAAGAAAGCGCAAAAGCTGGGTTGCAGCTAAACATCAAAAAAACCAAGATTATGGCTACAAGAATGATTGACAACTGGAAAATAGAGGGAGAAACCGTGGAGGCCGTGACAGACTTTGTATTTCTAGGTGCAAAGATTACTGCAGATGCAGACTGTAGCCAGGAAATCAGAAGACGCTGACTTCTTGGGAGGAGAGCAATGTCCAGTCTCGATAAAATAGTAAAGAGTAGAGACATCAGACTGGCAACAAAGATCCGCCTAGTCAAAGCCATGGTATTCCCTGTAGTAACCTACGGATGTGAGAGCTGGACCTTAGGGAAGGCTGAGCGAAGGAAGATCGATGCTTTTGAGCTGTGGTGTTGGAGGAAAGTTCTGAGCGTGCCTTGGACTGCGAGAAGATCCAACCAGTCCATCCTCCAGGAAATAAAGCCCGACTGCTCACTGGAGGGAAAGATACTAGAGACAAAGTTGAAGTACTTTGGTCACATCATGAGGAGACAGGAAAGCCTAGAGAAGACAATTATGCTGGGGAAAGTGGAAGGCAAAAGGAAGAGGGGCCGACCAAGGGCAAGATGGATGGATGGCATCCTTGAAGTAACTGGACTGACCTTGAAGGAGCTGGGGGTGGTGACGGCCGACAGGGAGCTCTGGCGTGGGCTGGTCCATGAGGTCACGAAGAGTCGGAGACGACTGAACGAATGAACAACAACAGATACCAAGGTGCTTGTTTATAAAACTATTGTCCTCCCAACCCTGCTATATGCCTGCAAGATGTGGACTGTCTACAGATGTCACATGCAACTCCTGGAACGATTCCATCAGCGCTGCCTCCGGAAAATCCTGCAAATCTCTTGGGAAGACAGCGGACAAACGTCAGCGTGCTGGAAGAAGCAAAGACCACCAGCATCGAAGTGATGGTCCTCCGCCATCAACTCCGCTGGACCGGCCACGTTGTCCGGATGCCTGACCACCGTCTCCCAAAGCAGTTGCTCTACTACGAACTCAAGAATGGAAAACGGAATGTTGTTGGGAAGAAAAGAGATTTAAAGATGGGCTCAAAGCCAACCTTAAAAACTCTGGCATAGACACTGAGAACTGGGAAGCCCTGGCCATAATTACAATGATTCATAAAGAAAACTCAGATGGAACTGATGTCAGGAACTACCGTCCAATTTCCCTGCTGAACGTCAATTACAAGATCTATGCATGTATATTGGCAGAAAGATTAAAACAACTAATAAAAGATTGGATCAAAGAGGAACAATCAGGATTTCTCCCCCAGCGCCAAATTAAGGATAACGTAAGAACTATAGTAAATGTTGGGGTTCAGCCTGAGTTTGAACTTGAACCTGATTCTCTGTTTGTTCCTCCTGATGCTAATGAAAATATATTTACTGATGCTAATGAAAATGTACTTCCTGATGCTAATAAAAATATACCTCTTGATGCCAATGCTCCTGAAATTAGTGAGGAAGAAATTTCTGCAGGTTTGGAAAATGCCAATGTTCCTGAAATTAGTGAGGAAGGAACTTCTGTAGATTTGGAAAATGAAAGTACCAGTGTTCATGAGAATGTTTCAGAGGGAAGCCATGACCTTTCATTCCCTTCTGCACCTGGTAACTTTAATGAGAACAGAAAGGGCCAAATTTGGCAAGGCAGGAGTAAATCACTCAGCTTGCGAAGGTCTTCCCGATTAAAAGAAATACAAACAATGGCTTAAAAGCAGAGGGGCGGTTCACGGAACCAATTCTTCGGCTTTAAGTGCCTTCCGTCGGGCTGACTTTCTCAGTTCAGGCATCGTTTCAGATTGATGAAGGCCTTGGCAGTTCTCCCGGTTTCCCTGGCCATGGTCTTGAAAGATATCTAGGATACCAAGCACGGTTAGTGGATTGCTAACAGGTTCCAGTATTTTACAGTGTGGCTTTGGGATTTGTTTTGTCCATTTATATTCATGTTTGCTGATTTTGCTGTGGCTTTTGACTTGCATTTTTCCTTTATTTTGTAACCATTTTTCTTCAATAAAAAAGGATTGTTTTTCACAGTCAAGTGTGGTGGATAGTTATCTTAGGGCCTCGTTCCCTGCTCTGGATTGCAACAGTAAACATCATCGAATACTATGAAAAAAACAACGATAAAGAATGTGCCTTACTAGCATTAGATGCCGAAAAGGCATTCGATATGGCAAACTGGGATTTTTTCCTCGCACTTATGCAGGTGAAGGGCTCCACAGCCACCTACAGACCAACCGCCAGGACACCGAACTTGGAGGACCATCATCCTCGGACTACGAGGGATCACCTAAGTACGTAAGTAAGCCTGACAAGGCCGTTACTCTTTCCCCCCAAACTGCAGCTCCTGGGATTGCATAGCACTGAGCCACAGCAGTGTCAAACTGGGTTAGTTCCAAAGTGTAGATGCGTCCTGTAACCGATCCCATCTAATCTTGGATGCTTCTCCATGTTGTGCAATCTGTCCATTGAAAGTGGAGGAAAAGTTGACTCATTCTCCTCCGCCAAACTGGGAAGGATCCCAGCTGCAGAGTCACAAAGGAAGGAGGGATTCTGTCAGTCAAGGCACGGACCCTTTCATCTCAGCTGCTAATAATAAAACCTTCTCCCCCCCCCAAAAAAAAAACTCAGAAGAAAGGCATTTAATCCTCAACATCCCAATACAGTGAACCCTCTTCTGCTGCCAGCATTTTGGCTTCGGAAATGAAGGACACACTATTTAGGTCTTTTATCCTTTTTTTGGCATTGTTTCATGCAGTTTTTCCTTCATTCTGATTCAGAAGGGTGATGATTATACCGGAAATGCCAAGAAGCGGAAATCAAGATTTGCAGATTTCAGACATCCAAATGTTTGCAAGGTTTGCTCCATTCTCCAGCTGGAGTAGTTCTTGACCCCAGGATTAGCATTCCATTCTGTAATATATGTTGCTGTTGTTGCTGCTGCTGCTGCTATTATTATTATTATTATTATTATTATTATTATTATTATTATTATTATTATTATTTCTATCCCCTTTCCTCTCCCAAAGGAAACTCTTCTTCCTCCCCTTCCTCCCCTTCCTTTTCTTCTTTCTCCTCTTCTTCTTCCTCTTTCTCTTCTTCTTCCTCCCCTCCTCTTTTTCTTCTTCAGCTCATCTTCTTCATCATTTCTTCTTCCTCTCCTCCTTTTCTTCTTCAGTTCACCTTCTTCATCATTTCTTCTTCCTCTCCTCCTCTTTTTCTTCTTCAGCTTGTCTTCGTCATCATTTCTTCCTCCTCTGCATCTCCTCTTTTTCTTCCTCAGCTCTTCTTCTCCTTCCTCTTCCTCCTCCTCCTCTTCCTCCTCCTCCTCTTCGTCTTTTTTCTCCTGCTCCTCCTTTTCTTCTTCTTTCTCTCCTCTTTTTGTTTTTCATCTCTTCCTCATATTCTTTTCTTCTTCCTCTCCTCTTTTTCTTTTTCAGCTCTACCCTTCCTCTTTTTCTTCATCTTCTTCCTCCCCTTCCTCTTCTTCCACTTCCTTTTTTCCTCCTGCTCTTCTTCTTCTTCTTCAGCTCCTTTCTTTTCTTTCACTTCCTGTTCCTTTTCTTCTTCATCCTCTTCCTCCTCTTCTTCACCTCTTTCTTCTTCAGCTCCTCCTCTTCTTCCTCTTTCTCTTCTTCTTCTTCCTTTTCTTCCTCCTCCCCTTTTTCATCCTCTTCCTCTTCTTCCTCCTCTTCTTCTTTTAATTCTTCTTCTTCTTTTCTTCTTCCTCTTCCTCTTCTTCCACTTCCTGTTCCTTTTCTTCTTCCTCCTCCTCTTCTTCCTCTTCTTCCCGTCTTTCTTCTTCAGCTCTTCTTCTTCCTTTTCTTCTTCCTTCTCTTCCTCCTCCTTTATGTTTCTCTTCCTCTTCTTCCTCCTACTCCTCCTTTTTTTCCTTCTTCTTCTTCCTTTTCCTCTTCTTCTTTCTCCTTTCTCTTTTTCCTCTTCATTTTCTTCTTCTTCCTCCTGCTCTCCCTTTTCTTCCTTCTTCCTCTTTCTCCTTCTCCTTACTATTCCACTTCCCTCTCCTAAAGGAAATTCAAAGCCGCTTCAAAGAGACTCCAAGTGGCTGTTTTAATGGTCCGATGTTTCATCTATGTATTTTAACTCCTGTGTTGATTGTCATCGCTGTTATAATCTGCCTTCAAGTCAGTTTCAGCTTATGTCTTTTCTATTGTGGGATTTTCGTAGTGAAATTGAAATTGAAGTTTTGCTATCGGCTTCCCTCCAAGGCTGAGAGAGTGCGACCTTCAATGGCTAAACAGGGATTTGGACCCTGGTCTCCGGGAAAAGCAACACTTCTGCCACAAAACTACATTGGATTTCCCAGGAGCTTTGGCATTGCCTTCCTCTGAGGCTGTGAGAGTGTGACTTACCCACTGGCTGAGTGAGAATTTGAACTTTGTTTTCTATGGGCCTCTACACTGTGGAATTAATGCAGTTTCAACACCACTTTACCTGCCATGGCACAATGCTTTGGAAGCCTGAGAGTTGTCGTTTCACTAGATTTGTATCCTTCTTGGCCAAAGAGAGCTGGGGCCTCACCGAACTACAACTCCCAGGGTCCCAGAACATTGAGGTTGTGAGGTCTGTTGGAAATCAGGCAAGTGAGGTTTATATATCTGTGCAATGATGTCCTATTTGAGGTTAGTGCTTGATTAACATTGAATAGCCTTGTAGCTTCAAAGCCTGGCTGCTTCCTGCGTGGGGGAATTCTATGCTAATTAAGCTGGCCAGTTGAAACATTCACACTTGCCTCCAACAATTTTAATTTTACATTTGGCCTTCCCACAGTTTTAATCGTGTGGTTTTATTGTTAATGTGGCATTATTTTATTGTCCATGTTTTTATTTTAATTGCTTGTATTGTTTTTATTATTGCTTGTATTGTTGTATTTGGGCTCGGCCTCATGTAAAACGCACTGAGTCCCTTGGGGAGATGATAGCGGGGTACAAATAAAGTGTTATTATTATTATTATTATTATTATTATTATTACTACTACTACTACTACTACTACTACTACTACTCTGTTGCGCCAGCTCCACTGGCTGCCAGTCAGCTTCCGAGCACAATTCAAAGTGCTGGTCTTAACCTATAAAGCCCTAAACGACTCCGGCCCAATTTACCTGTCCAAACGTATCCTCCCCTATGAACCATCAAGATTGCTAAGATCGTCTGGAGGGGCCCTGCTCTCGATCCCACCGGTCTCACAGGCGTGGCTGGTGGGGACGAGAGACAGGGCCTTCTCGGTGGTGGCCCCTCGACTCTGGAACTCCCTTCCACTGGAGATCAGAACTGCCGCTTCTATCTTAACGTTCAGGAAACAGGTGAAAACTTGGCTTTGGGGATTGGCATTTGACGAATGAACCATGATCCTGTGATATGGATGGATGACAACAAATAATGATTTTTGATGACGACTGACCACTGTAATTATAGGATTGTATTTTGCTATTTTAATGTTTTAGTGTGATTTAGAATATGATGTTTTAATGACTGTCTGTAATATTGATGTTGGAAACCGGCCTGAGTCCCTCGAATGGAGGTGAGAAGACCTGTATACAAAACTGCTAAATAAATAAACAAATATATTATTAACAGACAAGAGTTCTGGGTTGTTGTGTGTATTCTGGGCTGTATGGTTACATTCCAGAAGCATTCTCTCCTGACATTTCGTCTGCATCTATGACAGGCATCCTCAGAGGTTGTGAGGTCTCTTTCTCCCACCCTGGGCATTCCACAGATATATTAACTCAATTTGCCTAGTTTCCAACCGACCTCCCAACCTCTGAGGATGGCTGCCATAGATGTGGGCGAAACATCAGGAGAGAATGCTTCTGGACAGAGGCGGCCCTAGGTAATTTTCAATGGTAAGCAAACAGTATTTTGGTGCCCCCCCCAACCAATCACTGATATATATTTTCTGTTTGTTGTGGGAGTTCTGTGTGCCATATTTGGTTCAATTCCATCATTGGTGGAGTTCAGAATGCTCTTTGATTGTAGGTGAACTATACATCCCAGTAACCCGCATATGTCAAGGCAGAGGTGGCCCTAGGTAATTTTCAACTGTAAGCAAACAGTATTTTGGTGCCCCCCCCCCCCCAACCAATCACGGATATATATTTTCCGTTCATCGTGGGAGTTCTGTGTGCCATATTTGGTTCAATTCCATCATTGGGGGAGTTCAGAATGCTCTTTGATTGTAGGTGAACTATACATCCCAGTAACTACAATTCGCATATGTCAAGGTGTATTTTCCTTTAAGAGTGCCCCTGGGCAAAATCAACTATACCGCAAATGCTTACTTTGCGTAATGGGTTTACCGCCCCTGCTTCTGGAACATGGCCATACAGCCTGGAAAACTCACAGCAACCTAGTGATTCCGCCATGAAAGCCTTCGACAACACAATAATAATACTAGTCAACAAAACCAGGTAATAAACCAAGCGCATCCCACGTACCACTGCATAGTAATTCTTGGTAAGTTGGGGGCTTTCCGCATTTTTCAAAGCTTTCGGAGAGAGAGGTTTATCTGGAGGAGAAAAAGAAGAAGCGGTTATACAAAACTGCCCTTATTCTGTCAAGGGAGGGAAAGAAGACATGTTGGCATCTTGGGTAAAATGTAAACAATCGCGGCGACAAGAAATGCATCTCAATTGCAAAGCAGAAGAGACGTTCTGGTTGCTTCTAAGAAAGGTGTTAAACAACCTTTGTAAGCTGCTCTGGGAATGCTGGGGTATAAAAAATAGTAAATGAATGAATAAATAAATAAATAAAACACTGGAAGTTGTCAGGCGCATCTATATTCTCTTCTTCAGGCAAGAGGGAGCCTCCACCACACTCCGGGGCAGAGAGTTCCACTGCTGAACGGCTCTCACAGTCAAGAAGTTCTTCCTAATATTCAGATGGAATCTCCTTTCTTGTAGTTTGAAGCCATTGTTCCGTGTCCTAGTCTCCAGGGAAGCAGAAAAAAAGCTTGCTCCCTCCTCCCTGTGGCTTCCTTTCATATATTTATGCATGGCTATCATATCTCCTCTCATCCTTCTCTTCTTCAGGCTAAACATGACCAGCTCCTTAAGCCGCTCCTCATAGAGCTTGTGCTCCAGAGCCTTGATCATTTTAGTCGCCCTCCTCTGGAAACATTCCAGCTTGTCAATATCTTTCTTCAATTGTGGTGCCCATGATTGGACACAATATTCCAGGTGTGGTCTAACCAAAGCGGAATAGAGGGGTAGCATGACTTCCCTGGATCTAGACACTATGCTCCTATTGATGCAGGCCAAAATCCCCTTTTTTGCCGCCACATGACATTGTTGGCTCATGTTTAACTTGTTGTCCACGAGGACTCCAAGATCTTTTTCGCACGTACTTCTTTCTAGCCAGGCGTCCCCCATTTTGTATCTTTGTCTTTCCTTTTTCCTGCCTAAGTGGAGTATCTTGCATTTGTCACTGCTGAACTCCATTTTGTTAGATTTGGCCCATCTCTCTAATCTGTCAAGATTGTTTTGAATCCTGCTCCTGTCCTCTGGAGTATTGGCTATCCCTCCCAATTTGGTATCATCTGCAAACTTGATGATCCTGCCTTCTAACCCTTAATCTAAGTCATGAATGAATATCCTGAACAGGACCAGGCCCAGGACGGAACCCTCCTGATGGCACTCCGCTAGTCACTTCTTTCTTAGTCACTTCTTTCTTTCTTCCTCTTGATGCAGGCCAAAATCCCATTGGCTTTTTTTGCTGCCACATGACATTGTTGGCTCATGTTTAACTTGCTGTCCATGAGGACTCCAAGATCTTTTTCACACGTACTGCTCTCGAGCCAGGCATCGTCCCCCATTTTGTATCTTTGCATTTCGTTTTTTCTGTCTAAGTGGAGTATCTTGCATTTATCCCTGTTGAACTTCATTTTGTTAGTTTTGGCCCATCTCTCTAATCTGTGAAGATCATTTTGAATCCTGCTCCTGGAGAAGGGCCAATGTGGTCCCAATCTTCAAGAAGGGAAAAAAGGATGGCCCAAACAATTACCGTCCGGTCAGCCTCACGTCGATACCAGGCAAGATTCTGGAAAAGATTGTTAAGGAAGTGGTCTGCAAACACTTAGAAACAAATGCGGTCATCACTAATAGTCAACATGGATTCATCAAAAACAAGTCATGCCAGACTAATCTGATCTCTTTTTCGATAGAGTTACAAGCTGGATAGATGCGGGGAATGCCGTGGATGTAGCGTACCTGGATTTCAGAAAGGCCTTCGACAAGGTTCCCCATGACCTTCTGGCAAGGAAACTAGTCCAATGTGGGCTAGGCAAAACTACGGTGAGGTGGATCTGGAATTGGTCAAATGGATGAACCCAGAGGGTGATTCTCCCCAAGGCTTCCTCTTCATCCTGGAAAGAAGTGACGAGCAAAGTGTTGCAGGGTTCCGTCCTGGGCCCGGTCCTGTTCAGGATCTTTATTAACGACTTAGACGAAGGACTAGAAGGCATGATCATCAAGTTTGCAGACGACACCAAATTGGGAGGGAGAGCCAATACTCCAGAGGACGGGAGCAGAATTCAAGACGATCTTGACAGATTAGAGAGATGATGGGCCAAAACTAATAAAATGAAGTTCACCAGGGAGAAATGCAAGATACTCCACTTTGGCAGAAAAAACGAAATGCAAAGATACAGAATGGGGGGACGATGCCTGGCTCGAGAGCAGTATGTGTGAAAAAGATCTTGGAGTCCTCATGGACAGCAAGTTAAACATGAGCCAACAATGTGATGCGGCGGCAAAAAAAAAGCCAATGGGATTTTGGCCTGCATCAATAGGAGCATAGTGTCTAGATCTAGGGAAGTCATGCTACCCCTCTATTCTGCCTTGGTTAGACTAGTCCTGGAATATTGTGTCCAATTCTGGGCACCACAACTGAAGGGAGATGTTGACAAGCTGGAATGTGTCCAGAGGAGGGCGACTAAAATGATCAGGGGTCTGGAGAACAAGCCCTATGAGGAGCGGCTTAAAGAGCTGGTCATGTTTAGCCTGAAGAGGAGAAGGCTGAGAGGAGACATAATAGCCATGTATAAATATGTGAGAGGAAGCCACAGGGAGGAGGGAGCAAGCTTGTTTTCTGCTTCCCTGGAGACTAGGACATGGAACAATGGCTTCAAACTACAAGAGAGGAGATTCCATCTGAACATGAGGAAGAACTTCCTGACTGTGAGAGCCGTTCAGCAGTGGAACTCTCTGCCCCGGAGTGTGGTGGAGGCTCCCTCTTTGGAAGCTTTTAAGCAGAGGCTGGATGGCCATCTGTCAGGGGTGATTTGAATGCAATATTCCTGCTTCTTGGCAGAATGGGGTTGGACTGGATGGCCCATGAGGTCTCTTCCAACTCTTTGATTCTATGATTCTATGTTTCGAAGACTAAAGACCCTGTCAAACTACATAGGTATTAAATGAGGAAGCACAGACAAGCGAAGAGTGTGTGCAGCAGTATGCTTTTGCCTGAGCTGACTGGAGAGGGCAAGGTTGTGCTTTCTGCTTCCCTCTCCTTGCTAAGCAAACTAGTCTTGCAGTCAGAATTATAGAAGAGGAGCGTGGAAATCACAGATGGAAGCAGGGAAGACGCTTCCGCTTCCGGTCCTGCCTCTTTTTCCCCTTTCGTCCCTCCTCCTTGTCTTGCCGTTTTCCCTTCTTGGGAATGGAGAGAGGGTTGGAGAGCACTCCTTTAATTGAAGGGGAAATGCTGGAGGAAAAGGGGGGCATCAGATAAGATGGAATGACGGATAAGCGAAGGTCGGATAAGCGAGACTATGCTCTACAGGAAGATGGTGCAGCTGGCTGTGAGTCGGCTGCATTAAGATCACTACTGACCGAAAGGTCATGAGTTTGAAGCCAGCCTGGGTCGGAGTGAGCTTCCGACCAAATTTGTGTAGCTTGTTGTCGAACTTTGTAGCCTGAAAGACAGTTGCATCTGTTTTGTTTTTTATTTTGTTTCTTTGTCGTGTCAGGAGCGACTTGAGAAACTGCAAGTCGCTTCTGCAAGGACGTTGCCCAGGGGACGCCTGGATGATTTGATGTTTTTATCATCCTTGTGGGAGGCTTCTCTCATGTCCCCGCATGAGGAGCTGGAGCTGATAGAGGAAGCTCATCCGCCTCTCCCCGGATTCGAACCTGCGACTTGTCGGTCTCCAGTCCTGCCGGCACAGGGGTTTAACCCACTGCGCCACTGGGGGCTCCAGTTGCATCTGTCAAGTAGGAAATTTAGGTACCACTTTGTGGGGAGGCTAATTTAACTAATTTACGAGGCCATAAAAATCTCCAGCAAGCATGCAGGGAATGAGGAAGTATTTCATCAGTGTTGCAGATGGATGGTGAAGCAACGGATGGATGGTGAAGCAACAGCAACCCCTGGTGGCCAGAAACAGTTGGAATGTTGAATACCCTCTGACTGTCTGTCTATATATGTTGTGTGTTTATGGCATTGAATGTTTGCCATGTATATGTACATTGTAATCTGCCCTAAGTCCCCTGCGGGGTTTTTTATTTGTTGTTGTTGTTGTGTCAGGAGCGACTTGAGAAACTACAAGTTGTTTCCGGTGTGAGAGAATTGGCCGTCTGCAAGGTCGTTGCCCAGGAGACGCCTGGATGAATTGATGTTTTATCATTCTTGTGGGAGGCTTCTCTCATGTGCCCACATGAGGAGCTGGAGCTGATAGAGGGAGCTCATCCGCCTCTCCCCGGATTCGAACCTGCGACCTGTCGGTCTTCAGTCCTGCCGGCACAGGGGTTTAACCCACTGCGCCACTGGGGGCTCCAGTTGCATCTGTCAAGTAGGAAATTTAGGTACCACTTTGTGGGGAGACTTATTTAACTAATTTACGAGGCCATAAAAATCTCCAGCAAGCATGCAGGGAATGAGGAAGTATTTAATCAGTGTTGCGGGTTGAGAAGGGTGGAATATAAATACTGTAAATAAATAAATAAGATAAGATAAGATAAAGTGGGATATAAATAAAGTGTATTATTTGGGTTGTCCGGTGTGACACAACGGAAGCCAAGAGGGCTCTACATCAAGCTGTCGGACACTCACCGGTGGGTTTGATCTCCCTGACGTAGTTGCTGGGGAACCAACCAGTCTTGCCGTTGAGGGTCCCTTCCCACCAGCCGCCTTCCTCGACGCGGGTGACACAAATGACGTCCCCTTTGTTGATGGACAGCTCGTCCTCATTGGTCTGCTTGAAGTTGAACCGGGCCCGGACCACCAGCTGGTGACCGCCGTTCTCTGTCATGTCCTGAGAAAGAAAGGAACGGGAGAGGAACAAAGGACCATATAGAACCCTGAAAGAGAACCCAAGGGTTATCCAGTCCAACCTCCTTCTTGCAGGAAAAGCACAATTAAAGCATCCTCAACAGATGGCCATCCAGCCTCCAAAGAACGAGCGTTTACTGGACTCAGAGGCAGTGAGTTCCACTGTTGAACAGAGATCAACAGATGCTTCTAGAGATAATCTAATCAAACTTCAGCCTTCCAGGTAATCAACTCCCACAATTCCTAACAGCCTCAGGCCCCCCTTTTTCCCCCCTCAGCCACTTAAGCCTGATCTAGACTATAGACTTAATGCACTTGGATACCGTATTGTCGAAGGATTTCATGGCCAGAATCACTGGGTTGTTGTAGGTTTTTTTCGGGCTATATGGCTATGTTCTAGAGGCATTCTCTCCTGATGTTTCGCCTGCATCTGTGGCAGTGTTTCTCAACCTGGGGGTCGGGACCCCTGTAGGAGTTGCGAGGGGGTGTCAGAGGGGTCGCCAAAGACCATCAGAAAACATAGTATTTTCTGTTAGTCATGAGGGTTCTGTGTGGGAAGTTTGGTCCAATTCTATCGTTGGTGAGGTTCAGAATGCTATTTCATTGTGGGTGAACTACAAATCCCAGCAACTACAACTCCCAAATGCTGAGGTCTATTTTCCCCAAACTCCACCAGTATTCATATTTGGGGATATTGAGTATTTGTGCCAAGTTTAGTCCAGATTCATCATTGTTTGAATCCACAGTGCTCTCTGGATGTAGGTGAACTACAACTCCAAAAATTCAAGGTCAATGTCCACCAGACCCTCCCAGTATTTCCTCTTGGTCATGGGAGTTCTGTGTGCCAAGTTTGGTTCAATTCCATTGTTGGTGAACTTCAGAATACTCTTTGATTGTAGGTGAACTATAAATCCCAGCAACTACAACTCCCAAATGACAAAATCAATCCCCCCAACCCCACCAGTATTCAAATTTGGTCGTATTGGTTATTTGTGCCCAATGTAGCCCAGTGAATGAAATACATCCTGCATATCAGATATTTACAATTCATAACAGGAGCAAAATTACAGTTATGAAGTAGCAACGAAAATAATGTTATGGTTGGGGGTCACCACAACATGAGGAACTGTACTGAGGGGTTGTGGCATTAGGTCTCCTGACATTTCGCCTGCATCTATGGCAAGCATCCTCAGAGGTAGTGAGGTCTGTTGGAACTAGGAAAATGGGTTTATATATCTGTGGAATGACCAGGGTGGGACAAAGAACCCTTGTCTGCTGGAGCTAGGTGTGAATGTTTCAACTGACCACCTTGATTAGCATTTGATGGCCTGGCAGTGCCTGGGGCAATCTTTTGTTGAGAGGTGATTAGATGTCCCTGATTGTTTCCCTCTGCTGTTTTGCTGTTGTAATTTTAGAGTTTTTTTTTAATACTGGTAGCCAGATTTTGTTCATTTTCATGGTTTCCTCCTTTCTGTTGAAATTGTCCACATGCTTGTGGATTTCAATGGCTTCTCTGTGTAGTCTGACATGGTGGTTGTGAGAGTGGTCCAGCATTTCTGTGTTCTCAATATGCTGTGTCCAGGTTGGTTCATCAGGTGCTCTGCTATGGAGACTACACAGAGAAGCCATTGAAATCCACAAGCATGTGGACAATGTCAACAGAAAGGAGGAAACCATGAAAATGAACAAAATCTGGCTACCAGTATTAAAAACTCTAAAATTACAACAGCAAAACAACAGAGGGGAAACAATCAGGGACATCTAATCACCTCTCAACAAAAGATTGCTCCAGGCACTTCCAGGCTATAAAATGCTAATCAAGGTGGTCAGTTGAAACATTCACACCTAGCTCCAGCAGACAAGAGTCCTTTCCACAGATATATAAACCCACTTTCCTAGTTCCAACAGACCTCACTACCTCTGAGGATGCTTGCCATAAATGCAGGCGAAATGTCAGGAGAGAATGCCTCTAGAACATGGCCATATAGCCCAAAAAAACCTACAAGAACCCACTTTGATACCACTTTCCTTGTCATGGCTCAAGGCAACTGAATCCTGGTAGGTAGATGTAGCTTCACCAGGTGGTATGCCATCTAATGCTGTGTCTCCCCGAAACTATGACTCCTAAGGTTACCCTAACATTGACCCTATGGTCAACTTACACTAGGGAGTTGTACTGAACGAACTAGAAATTTCGCAGTTTTCAAAAGAGCATACCACTGCTTTGGACTGCCTGCGCAAGGCTCTGGGCGACTTGGGAGACGTAGTTTGCCTGGAAGGAGGGCAGTCCTCCGACGGGGATCTAGCAGGCGACAGGCGGGAACATGGCCTGGCGGCCGGTTGATCTGTTTGGAGACAAAACGAAAACACGTTGCTTCAGAACAAAGAACATCAGAGCAGTTCAACTAGCCAGCAAGGCAGTCTGCTTTCCTATATCTTCCAAAGGAAACTCACTGCACTTGAAGTCAACATATTGTTGGACTACAATTTCCACAATCCCCCCGCCACAGGTCAAGCTATGGTCCAGGAGTCACCCCTTGACTTGCCATGGCGGAATGAGAGTGAGAAGGGCAGAATATTAGTACTGTATGTGACATTGCGAGTGGTGCCACCTATATGTATAACTGTTAGTTGCAAGTTTTAAACTGTTGTATCATGCTTAATCCTGTCTTTTTACCCTGGCTATGTATAGTTGGATTGATTGGTTATTTATAGCTGTCAATCAATGTTGTTTGCACCAGTTGAATTGCTTTCTCAGCTCAATTGTTTGGCTCCACCTCTTCCTGGAGGAGGGGAGTGCTTCCCTTTTTCATTCCACCATTAGATTTTCTACCAGATGGACGTGAGTAAGAGACTTGGCTCTAAAAGCCCCTGATTAAGTTACCTCTCAGCACCAATTCTGAGGTTCTTACCCTTGAGATTTATGCTTCATGTTTAGATCAACCTGAATGACATTGGGAAGTCTCAAGCACCTTCAAACCAGTTCTTTTGGCACCAGAGGAAGACTTTGTGTCTTCAAACATAGGCCATTGGGACTGGGGTTGTGGATTGCTCCGGCATTCACAGCCATTGAGAAAGAGGGACCTGGGAAAGCTTTTCAGCTGCAAAACTCCTTGGACCCAAGACAACCAGAGACTGTAATGTATGTTTTCCTTCACCCTTTTGAAACTTCCAGCTTATTGCCTTAAGGAGATAACTCTTTGCGAACAATAAAACCTATTTTGAGTTATCTATAGTGTTTGGGTCTTTGAGAGTTCCAGTTTCCCTAAAGGAGGGCAAGAAGCAATCCCCTTGGGAAAGATGTCACGTCCATGCCTCTTTCACTAAGAGTTATAGCCCCCAGGCGTGATGGCACACTGTAAATAAATAGATAAATAAATAATCTGGATTATACAGCAGCGTATCTCCAACATCTCCAACGTTTGACTCCCTTTATGGCCATAGCTTTTCTCCTCCGGCTGTCTTCCCTTACATCAGAATTTCTCAACCTGAGTGTTGGGAGGGGTCACCAAAGACCATTAGAAAACACAGTATTTTCTATTGGTCATGAGAGTTCTGTGTGGAACGTTCGGCCCAATTCTATCATTGGTGGGGTTCAGAATGCTCTTTGATTGTAGGAGAACTATAAATTCCAGCAACTACAACTCCCAAATATCAAGATCTAATTTCCCCAAATTCAAACAGTGTTCACATTTGGGCATATTGAGTCTCCGTGCCAAGTTTGGTCCAGATCCATCATTGTTTGAGTCCACAGTGCTTCCTGGATGTAGGTGAACTGCAACTCCAAAACTCAAGGTTAATGCCCGTCAAACCCTTCCAGTATTTTCTGTTCGTTGTGGGAATTCTGTGTGCCAAGTTTGGTTCAATTCCATCGTTGGTGGGGTTCATAATGCTCTTTGATTGTAGGTGAACTATAAATCCCAGCAACTACAACTCCCAAATGACAAAATCAATCCTCCCCTAACACCACCAATATTCACATTTGAGTGTATTGGGTAATGGGTAATAATAATAATAATAATAATAATAATAATAATAATAACAACAACAACACTTTATTTATACCTCGCTACCATCTCCCCAAGGGACTCGGTGTGGCTTACATGAGGCCGAGCCCAAAATACAACAATACAAGCAATAGCAACAACAATACAAGCAATTTAAAACAACAAAACAATAAAACAACAACATAAGCATTGTATTGTCGAAGGCTTTCATGGCTGGAATCACTAGGTTCTTGTGGGTTTTTTCGGGCTATAGGGCCATGTTCTAGAGGCATTTCTCCTGACGTTTCGCCTGCATCTATGGCAAGCATCCTCAGAGGTAGTGAGGTCTGTTGGAATTAGGACAATGGGTTTATATATCTGTGGAATGGCTGGGGTGGGGCAAAGAGCTCTTCTCTGCTAGAGCTCGGTGTGAATGTTTCAATTGACCACCTTCATTAGCATTTGAAGGCCTGCCTGAGCCTGGGAAAATCTCCTGTTGAGAGGTGTTAAGATGTGCCTGGTTTTTCCTCTCTGCTGTTTTGCTGTTGTAATTTTAGAGTTTTTTTTAATACTGGTAGCCAGATTTTGTTCATTTTCATGGTCTCTTCCTTTCTGTTGAAATTGTCCACATGCTTGTGTATTTCAATGGCTTCTCTGTGTAGTCTGACATGGTGGTTGTTGGTGTGGTCCAGCAATTTCTGTGTTCTCAAATAATATTTCTGTGTTCTCAAACATAAGCATTATCAAATAGGACAACACACTTTAAAATCTGTAGGTAGGCCAAACGTAATTAAAATTAAAAATAATTGTGGACATGGGCGAAAAAGTGATGGGGTGGTTTGTGGAAACATACAAGCAGACCTAAAACAATATCAAGTGCTTTGGAGGACAAAGTGCTATGGGATCATTATTCTGGGAAGGCACACTGGAACAACCATGTCTTCAAGCTCCTCTTAAAGATTGCCAAGGTTGGGGCATGCCTGATGTCCTTAGGGAGTGAGTTCCAGAGTCGAGGGGCCACCACCGAAAAGGCACGCTCTCTCGTCCCCACCAATGCAGGTAGGAGCGTGAGCAGGGCCTCTCCAGATGATCGAAGAGATCATGTGGGTTCATATACAGAGATGCAGTCACGAAGATAGGCGGGTCCCATGAGGAACTCCCAGTAACATGAGGAACTCCCAGCAATATATCCCTAAATGCACTTTATTAGTGATCTAGGTTTGTTTGCACATTTCATCCCTCTCCAAAACTTCTATCCTAGTTATATGTCACCTTGTCATGCCCAGCATTTTTTTTTAAAATTAAATTATTACATTTGGCCCAGCCATAGGTTTTTAAACGCGTCGTGCTATTGTTAATGTTTATTGCTTATTTTCTGCTTATGAGTTTATTTATTGCTTTGAATTACTGTTGCTATTGTTTATTGTTGTTTTGTGGGCTCGGCCTCATGTAAGCCGCACCGAGTCCCTTGGGGAGAAGGTAGCGGGGTACAAATAAAGTTTTATTATTATTATTATATTTATTATTTGTGCCAAATTTATTCCAGTGAATGAAAATACATCCTGTATATTGGATATTTACATGATGGGTTCATAACAGTAGCAAAATTACAGTTATGAAGTAGCAACAAAAACAAGGTTATGGTTTGGGATCACCACAACATGAGGAATTGTATTAAGGGGTCGTGACATTAGGAAGATTGAGAAACACTGTCTTATATCATAGAATCATAGAATCAAAGAGTTGGAAGAGACCATCCAGTCCAACCCCCTGCCAAGAAGCAGGAATATTGCATTCAAATCACCCCTGACAGATGGCCATCCAGCCTCTGTTTAAAAGCTTCCAAAGAAGGAGCCTCCACCACACTCCGGGGCAGAGAGTTCCACTGCTGAACGGCTCTCACAGTCAGGAAGTTCTTCCTAATGTTCAGATGGAATCTCCTCTCTTGTAGTTTGAAGCCATTGTTCCGCGTCCTAGTCTCCAAGGAAGCAGAAAACAAGCTTGCTCCCTCCTCCCTGTGCTTCCTCTCACATATTTATACATGGCTATCATATCTCCTCTCAGCCTTCTCTTCTTCAGGCTAAACATGCCCAGTTCCCTAAGCCGCTCCTCATAGGGCTTGTTCTCCAGACCCTTGATCATTTTAGTCGCCCTCCTCTGGACACATTCCAGCTTGTCAATATCTCTCTTGAATTGTGGTGCCCAGAATTGGACACAATATTCCAGATGTGGTCTAACCAAAGCAGAATAGAGGGGTAGCATGACTTCTTTAGATCTAGACACTATGTTCCTATTGATGCAGGCCAAAATCCCATTGGCTTTTTTTGCCGCCACATCACATTGTTGGCTCATGTTTAACTTGCTGTCTACGAGGACTCCAAGATCTTTTTCACACGTACTGCTCTCGAGCCAGGCGTCCCCCATTCTGTAACTTTGCATTTCATTTTTTCTGCCAAAGTGGAGTATCTTGCATTTGTCACTGTTGAACTTCATTTTGTTAGTTTTGGCCCATCTCTCTAATCTGTCAAGATCGTTTTGAATTCTGCTCCTGTCCTCTGGAGTATTGGCTATCCCTCCCAATTTGGTGTCGTCTGCAAACTTGATGATCATGCCTTCTAACCCTTCATCTAAGTCATTAATAAAGATGTTGAACAGGACCGGGCCCAGGACGGAACCCTGCGGCACTCCACTTGTCACTTCTTTCCAAGATGAAGAGGAAGCATTAGTGAGCACTCTCTGTGTTCGTCCACTTAACCAATTACAGATCCACCTCACCGTAGTTTTGCCTAGCCCACATTGGACTAGTTTCCTTGCCAGAAGGTCATGGAGGACCTTGTCGAAGGCCTTACTGAAATCCAGGTACGCTACATCCGGAGCTTCACCAGCAAGACCTTTGTAACCAATCCATAATGTGTTTTGAGAAGAAACTGGAGGTTCGGCTTGCTCACCCGCATGTCTATGTATCTGCTTCCCCCCCCCCCCCCCCCCCCCCCAAACTCCCAATCAAAAAGGACCCTTCGCTTTCTGGCAGTACAACGGGTGCCACCGAAAACCCACACAAAGAGCTCAAAAACAGGCTGACATTTGATGCATGTTGTTGCCACAGCTGTTTTCGCTTTGTGGGCATCGAGGGAGGGATCGCAGCTTGGCACAGATGGAGTTTGGGTTTTTTTCCTCCCCTCCCTCCCTGACTTGATCAAGCATAACACGTCAGCAAGGGAGACCCAGAGAGATTTTGACAGCACAACATCAAAAAGCCTAACCTTTTGCAGATTCGGGGGGAACGGGATCCGAAAAGGCCGAGCGCAACGCTTTCCCTGGCGCCTTGACGGAAAGAGTCGGACTCTGGCAAGACGTGGCTCACAGCCGCCCACAGCCTCCTCCTTGCTGCCAAAAAGGCAAGCTCGCCATACGATGCAGAAAGATGCACTAGCGAGCACAGTGCTTTCTGTTCCAAACACTGGTTTTGAAAATTTTTATTTTAGGAGCTCAGGCTGTTTATTGTTTACCTGCGTCTTGGGAACAAGGCCCAGGTGGCAGGCAGTTCCTCCGTTCATTCGTGAATGTGCAAAAGAGTCATAGACTGTATTGACTCAAGTCTAATGCGCCATCGAATCTAATGTGCACCCCAATTTTCAAAACCCTGAACCCAAATAATAATATATAAATTTGTTAGGGGCATCCAACGGAGCCACAAAACTCAAAAAAAAACCCCAACGAAACTTAACCAAAATTCCCATGCTCATAACACAACCCACAAGGTACAAACATATCTACTCAAAATGAAAAACAACACAACAACACACTCACAAAACGGCAAAACAACTGAGCATGCGCATTGGCGCCCAGCCTCAACAAGGCCCAGGTGCCAGGCAGTTCCTCCGCTCTTTCGTGAATGTGCAAAAGAGTCATAGACTATATTGACTCAAGTCTAATGCGCCATCGAATCTAATGCGCACCCCAATTTTGAAAACCCTGAACCCAAATAATAATCTATATATATAAATTTGTTAGGGGCATCCAACGGAGCCACAAAACTAAAAAAAACCCCAACGAAACTTAACCAAAATTCCCATGCCATAACACAACCCACAAGGTACAAACATATATACTCAAAAAAAACCCAACGAAACTTAACCAAAATTCCCATGCCCATAACACAACCCACAAGGTACAAACATATCTACTAAAAATGAAAAACAACACAACAACACACTCACAAAACGGCAAAACAACTGAGCATGCGCATTGGCGCCCAGCCGCAAGTTCCCTGGCGCGCGCACACGGCCTTCCGGCCAACATTCCCTCTGCGGAAGCCATGCCCACTCCAAGCCGTGCCATGCCGCTTCCCGCACACACACACCCCCGCCGCACACACACACACACACAATCCAACGCTCCTTCACTCCCCCCTGCCGCACACACACACACCCCACCGGTAAGACACGCCCCCTTCCTTCGCCCCCCCACCCCTTCCCTCCCTGAGTCACTCCTTCCCTCCTCCCACTCCCCACCGGTAAGACACGCCCCCTCCCTTCCCCCCCACCCCTTCCGTCCCTGTCTCACTCCTTCCCTCCTCCCACCCTCCGCCGGTAAGACACGCCCCCTCCCTTCACTGTGGTGGGCCCAATCACACTCACGCCGGTAAGACACACCCCCTTCCTTCCCCCCCACCCCTTAGAAAGGAAAGGCAGGAAAGAGGTAAAGAAGGAAGGAGAAAAGGAAATAAAAAATGAAAGAAGGAAGGAAACATGGAGGGAAGAAAGGAGGCAAAGGAAGAAAGGGGGAGGGAATGAAGGAAAGAGAGAAGGATGAAACCAAGGAGCAAAAGAAGGAAAGAAAGAAAGAAAGAAAGAAAGAAAGAAAGAAAGAAAGAAAGAGGTAGAGAAGGAAGAAAGGAGAGAAAGGGGGAGAAAAACGGGGAAGGAATAGGTAGGTACTAGGGCTGGGCAACCACGGAAAAATTTGTTTCTAAACTCGATACGTTTTTTGGGGTTTTTTGCGTTTCGATATTTAAAAGAATTCCGAAATTTTTCTTTAAAAAAGTTCGATATTTACGAAATTTCGTAAAATTACGAAACAATACGAAACGAATACGAAATGAATACGAATCGATTCGTTAATGGCGGACGCGACCGCGCAATACGCTAAAAAACCTCCATATGGGACAGGGGGAACTTCTGAAGCTTCCCTCTCCCTCTGTTGTTGACTGTTGGTGTGATATTTATATTTTTTTTTCACTGATTAAACAAACAACAGCTATAAAACTTGCCCCAGACATGCGGAAATAATAACGAAACGATTTCGAAACGATTTCGAAACGAATACGAAACGAATACGAAGCAATTACGAAACGAATTGAGAAATTCATTTCGTTTTTTAGATGCTCCTGAATGGTTCGTTATCGCTTCGTAACAAAAAAAAATTACGAATTTTTAACGAATTACAAAATTACGAAACGAAACCACCCAGCCCTAGTAGGTACCTCTCTTTCATAATACACCAGATATCTACCTCTACTTTGAAAAGATTTCCTATAGGCCACAGCAACGCGTGGCATGGTACAGCTAGTAATAATAATGATGATGATGATGATGTTCCGTCTTCCAGATGCGTTTATGGTCAAGCTAGGCAGCTCGGACAAGCCATTGTGAGTACTTACCCTCTTGCCTTTGAAACTGGTGCTGAGCTCAGATAGGGGAAGACCTACTCTTTCTAATTTCTATTCTCAGCGCTGGGGCAGAGAATATCTCAGGATTTCTCTGCCATTGGGAGAGGCTCTATTACTTCACCCCCAAACTAACCTTGAGCTTAGATAGAGAAAGACCTGCAGCTCAGGGTTAGGGTAAAGAATCCCAGGATTTTTCTACCGCTGGGGGAAGTTAACTCAGCAGCTGAAGAAAGAAGGAAGGAACATCTATATAATTTCACAACTTGACTGTTTGTGTTTGTAACTTCATCAAGCTGTGCCAAGTCTGTCAAGGACTTTGAGAAATAAATGTTCTGTTTGATGATCAAATCTGGACTGGCCTCAGTTGCTGAGAATCCTAAGCTTCTAAGTAAGGCACCCGCAGTTCACCCAGATAAAGAGAGAAGCACATCTTAGTTTTAACTTTATAGTGTCTGGATATGACGGCACAAATAATAATAATAATTGCTGCTGTACGTGTGCCACAAATACCATCCGCCTGCGACAAAGAACTGGTGAGATCACAAGCCGGAAAAAGTTACAGAAAATGAACACGCCAAACTCCTCTGGGACTTCCGGATTCAGACAGACAGAGTTTTGGAGCATAATACTCCTCACCTCACGATCGTGTTAAAAAGCAAAGTGTGGATTGTCGATGTCGCAATCCCAGGTGACAGCAGAATTGCAGAGAAATAACTGGAAAAGCTGACACAATATGAGGATTTAAAGATCAATTGTGTTTAAGTGCAGGTCAAGGTCTTTAGGCACTGCGCCCAGTGTGCCCATCACCACTGGGACCACCTTTATTGTCTTTGCAGTTCGATCTTTAAATCCTCGTATCATGTCAGCTTTTCCAATTGTTTCTCTTCAATCCTGCTGTCATCTGGGACTGCAACATTGACGATCCATACTTGGTTTTTTAACACGATTGTGAAGTCAGGAGTATTATTATTATCGTCGTCGTCATCATCATCATCATTATGCTTTTCCTGCATGGCAGAATGGATTTGGATTGGATTGTCCCTGGAGTTGTTCCTGTTATTATTACTATATATGCTCAATGGCCATCTGCTGGGGGTTCTTTGATTGTGCCTTTCCTGCAGTGGCTCCATTGGAATCCTGGTAAGTTGATGTAGAGTGAACTCATTTTTCTGGACCATATTGCTTCAGAGAGGCTTCCCCTGAGGCTGAGAGAGTGAGACTTCCCCAAGGTCAACCCTAGGATTTGGGTGGCTCAGCAGGGATGATTCAAAGCCAGGTCTCTCGGTAGTTTCAATCTCTGTTCCATGTTAAATTTGCTATGGAAATATTACTGTTCAAAATGCATACACAAACACAGCACTTTTTGCCTTACCTTCAGTGGCTTTGCAGATGGCTGCAAGGGTATTCAGCACCTGGGGGAAGTTGTCTCCGGCGTAGAGATCATGTGCATCAAACAGCTGCGCAAAGAGACAAGGAAAAGCCCTGCGTCAGTCTTCACAGTGCACGGAAAAAGAGATCGGGAGAGAAGGACAAAGATAAGGCAAGCGGAGAGCCCAGATCAATGTATAGAAGAGGGTGAGTGCATTGACTGATTGGATATCTTAAGATTCAAAGCAGCTTACAATATAAATTCAAGTACAACATCCAAAGCAATACATTCAGCCAAGTCCTGGGCCTTCTCTGCCAAAGAATGCTTGTGCTTTACTGTACTAAATATCCCAGCTACCTTGGCAGCCACCTCTCCACCAAAGTCAACATCAACACCGAAATACAACACCGCCTGATCTCTGTGAGTGCAGCATTTTCCTGAATGAAGCAGAGAGTGTTTGAGGACCGGGACATCCGTAGGGAGACCAAGGTGCTTGTTTATAAAGCTATTGTCCTCCCAACCCTGCTATACGCCTGCGAAACGTGGACTGTCTACAGACGTCACATGCAACTCCTGGAACGATTCCATCAGCACTGCCTCTGGAAAATCCTGCAAATCTCTTGGGAAGACAGGTGGACAAACGTCAGCGTGCTGGAAGAAGCAAAGACCACCAGCATTGAAGCAATGGTCCTCCGCCATCAACTCTGCTGGACCGGCCACGTTGTCCGGATGCCTGACCACCATCTCCCAAAGCAGTTGCTCTACTCTGAACTTAAGAACGGAAAACGGAACGTTCGTGGACAGGAAAAGAGATTTAAAGATGGGCTCAAAGCCAACCTTTAAAACTCTGGCAGAGACACTGAGAATTGGGAAGCCCTGGCCCTTGACCGCTCCTGCTGGAGGTCAGCTGTGACCAGCAGTGCTGTAGAATTTGAAGAGGCACAAATAGAGGGCGAAAGGGAGAAGCGTGCCAAGAGGAAGGCGCGTCAAGCCAACCCTGACCGAGACCGCCTTCCACCTGGAAACCGATGCCCTCATTGCCGAAGAAGATGCAGAGCAAGAATAGGGTTCCACAGCCACATACGGACCACAAGAACACTGGAAGACAATCATCCTCAGAAAGCAAGGGATCGCCTAAGTAAGTAAGTAAGTAACCAAGGTATTGTCCTCCCAACCCTGCTATATGCCTGCGAAACGTGGACTGTCTACAGACGTCACATGCAACTCCTGGAACGATTCCATCAGCGCTGCCTCCAGAAAATCCTGCAAATCTCTTGGGAAGACAAGCGGACAAATCAGCGTGCTGGAAGAAGCAAAGACCACCAGCATTGAAGCAATGGTCCTCTGCCATCAACTCCGCTGGACCGGCCACATTGTCCGATGCCTGACCACCGTCTCCCAAAGCAGTTGCTCTACTCCAAACTCAAGAACGGAAAATGGAATGTTAGTGGGCAGGAAAAGAGATTTAAAGATGGGCTCAAAGCCAACCTTAAAAACTCTGGCATAGACACTGAGAACTGGGAAGCCCTGGCCCTTGAGCGCTCCAGCTGGAGGTCAGCTGTGACCAGCAGTGCTGCAGAATTTGAAGAGGCAGAATGGAGGGCGAAAGAGAGAAACGTGCCAAGAGGAAGGCGCATCAAGCCAACCCCGACCGGGACCGCCTTCCACCTGGAAACCAATGCCCTCACTGTGGGGTCAAGAATAGGGCTCCACAGCCACCTACGAATCCACAAGGAAACCCATCATGGAAGACCATCTTACTCGTCCAACGAGGGATCGCCTAAGTAAGAATCCCAGGATTCCATAGCATTGAGCCATGGCAGTTAAAGAGGCATCAAACTGGATTCATTCAACAGTATAGATCAGCATTTCTCAACCTGAGGGTCGGGACCCCTGGGGGAGTCACGAAGGAATTTCAGGGGGGTCACCAAAGACCATTAGACAACATATATTTCTGTTGGTCTTAGGAGTCCCTTTGGCAGAGAAGGCTGAAGATCTCTTCTCCTGTCCTTCTCTTCCTTTTTGGAAACTGACAGCAAATCCTCCTACTGAAAGCCCTCCTCTGCTGTGATTGGCCAGCCCCTCAGCCAAGGGGAGGGCTGTTTCTGAGACTCCAAGCAAGGAGAGGAGAGCAAGCATGCTCTGCGCATGGCAGCATGGTACGCATGTGCGCATGAGGGAGAGCATGCAAGGCTGGAGGGAGGTTCATGCCAGCGAGTCCCTTCAAGGTATGAGGGTTCTGTGTGGGAAGTCTGGCCCAATTCTATTGTTGGTGGGATTCAGAATGCTCTTTGATAGTAGGTGAATCCCAGAAACTACTCAAGGCGCAATTGCAAACAGTGCCGACAAAGAGAAAAAAATAGGACAAGTGCAAAGAAGCGAGAATGGATGTCCAAAGAACTTCTAACTGTGCTATAAGATTCAAAAGAGACATGCACAAGAAGTGGAAAAAGGGAGAAATCACCAAAGAAGAATTCAAATAAATAGCCAACTCCTGTAGGGAAAAGGTTCGCAAGGCTAAAACATAAAATGAGCTCAGGCTTGCGCTACTGAGGTCCAGATTCAGTCCCTGGGGCTTGAGATGTCCCACTTTGGTTGCAAAAAAAAAGTCATGAAAGCAAGAAGCTGGCCCAGAAGTCTCTTGATTTGCAAAACAAAACTTGTGGGACAGAAACTTTCTCTCTCGAGTCAGCAGTTGTGCAGCCGAACCCATGAACTGCCAAACATCTCTTTGTGGTTTCTCTTGCAAAGAGCAAACGCCACATGGAGGCCTTTCAGCAGCCACGCACATCCTGCAGAATGTGTCCCGATGCACATTCTCTCTGTCACTCTTTAGCAACAACAGAGCTATAATTTAGACCGAAAAGGCAAGGGAGTCGTTTCCAGGGCCCTCCATCCGCTGCAGGGTCAGCCGTAAACTCATCCATGAATCACACAGCATGCGAACTGGGTAATTTGTGCTCTGCCTTCCCCTTGTCAGAAAAGGTTTGTTTCATTTAGAGCATCTGCCGAATCCACGCAGGCAATTTACAGTCCCGGACTTACCAGCTCAGGCACTCTGCGCATGCCTAATGCCCTGCAGTCTTTAGCTGGGAGGGAGCAATGCAATGCGACTGGCTGCAGTTATGAAAGTAATTTATCTCCCTTCCTCTTTTCCATGCTTTCAAGGATATACGACACAGGCGGCGACACATAAACACGGTCGTAAATATGAGTAACACCAATGAAGTCAAATTGGGGAAGTGATTAATTGAAAACCAAGGGAAGAGATGAACAGAAAGAAAGCCAGGTTGATGTGAGTTTTCCAGGCTGTATGGCCATGTTTCAGAAGCATTCTCTCCTGACATTTCACCCACATCTATGGCAGGCATCTTCAGAGCAGGAGCCCCCGGTGGCGCAGTGGGTTAAACCGGGGCTGTTTAGGGCTTTATACGCCAAAGCCAGCACTTTGAATTGTTGCGCCAACTCCACTGGCTACCGATTTGCTACCGGGCTCTATTCAAAGTGCTGGCGTTGGCCTTTAAAGCCCTAAACGGTTCCGGCCCAAGCTACCTATCCGACCGCATTTCTGCCTATGAACCCACCAGGACTTTGGAATCTTCCGGGGAGGCCCTGCTCTCGATCCCGCCTGCTTCTCAAGCACGGCTGGCGGGGATGAGAGATAGGGCCTTCTTGGTGGTGGCTCCTCGGCTGTGGAACGCCCTTCCTACGGACATTAGACTAGCACCATCTCTAATGGTATTCCGCAGGAAAATGAAGACCTGGCTGTTTGAGCAGGCGTTCGAATAATTAGTGCAATGATTGGTTAATGAACATTGGAACGGAATAATGGATGACGAATCTGGATCATGCTTTTGATGATGAGACGATAGTGAATGGTGAATGGTTATTGTAGTTATTGTTTATCAATTATGTAATATGTTAGGTTGTTAAGTGTTTTTACACTGTAGCATTGATTTTTTGGCTGTTCTTATTTGTTGTGAACCGCTGTGAGTCGCCTTCGGGCTGAGAACAGCGGTATATAAGTAAAGTAAATAAATAAATAAATTGTGCCCGGTAGCAAACTGGCAGCCAGTGGAGCTGGCGTAACATGGGAGTTGTATGCTCCCTGAATGCCGCCCCAATTATTAACCTGGCTGCCTCTCGTTGGACTACTTGAAGCTTCCGAGCAGTCTTCAAAGGCAACCCCACGTAGAGTGCGCTGCAGTAGTCTATCCTAGATGTAACAAGAGCATGGACCACCGTGGCCAAGTTTGACTTCCCAAGGTACGGGTGCAACTGGAGCACAAGTTTTAATTGTGTGAACGCTCCCCTGGCCACCGCTGCAACCTGGGATTCCTGGCTCAGTGATGAATCAACTCCCAAGCTGCGAATCTGGGCCTTCAAGGGGAGTGTGACATGCTGCATTATCACGGGGTGCCTGCGCTCTACACCACTGGAGAAATTACACTGCTTAGCCGGTATTGCACCACCTGACATCCACCGGGAAGTAGCAGCCAATAGTGAAAGGACCAAGCAGTCACATCTCCAGCTCATCCCTTGTTTGGGTATCAGCCAGCACATCAATGACTTAAATCTAGACATAGTTTTCTAAGATCTACAGAGACACTTGCTGGAACACCTCAGCAAGCAAGAGTCCAAAAGTGGCAGGCTCAAACCCAGAACTTCAATCAATGGCTGATACCCAATGAGAGACTTCCCCCTGGGCACACAGAAGACTGGGCGACTTGGAAGGCACTGAACAGACAGCGCTCTGGCACCACGAGATGCAGAGCCAACCTCAAGAAATGGGGCTACAAAGTTGAATCCACGACATGCGAGTGTGGAGAAGAGCAAACCACTGACCACCTGCTGCAATGCAACCTGAGCCCTGCCACATGCACAATGGAGGATCTTCTTGCAGCAGCACCAGAAGCACTCCAAGTGGCCAGATACTGGTCAAAGGACATTTAATCAACTACCAAACTCACAAATTTTGTATTTTGTCTGTTTGTTTGCATTGTTCCGTTAGAAATGTAATATAATTGACTGGTTGCCCTGACACGACAAACAAACAAAGGGGAGTGTGACCTCGTCCAGCACAGGTTG